TGGCCTGAAGTCGACAAAAACGATCCTGAAACAATAGTTGTGTGATGTAGTAGGAAACAGGCTTCATGAGTAAATGAGATGCAGTTTAAACAGCACTATGATACATTAAAGCAGGAAAAAGACATGCTTACGAGCGTCGACTCCCCATCAGAAGCAACAACTCTTTTGTAGAAAATAAAGTGGACGTGAGTCGTTCCTTCAATTTTCGGCTGAGATAGTTTCCGATTGCGGAGTTCTTGCTTTTGCACAGTTCCTCCCAGTCACAAATGTCTGCCCGTATACGCCTGCTCTGCCCCTTATCATCCCTTCCTTAAACCAACGAACCACAAAATGGCCAGATTCTCCCCCTGGTAAGTGCCTGATTCCAGCAAACATGGAATCTTTTGGTCAAATTCATTGCGAGTGAAGGCGCGAAAAAGATGACGCCCTGTGCAGAGCCATATCTGACATCAAACTCTCGGATATCTGATGAGCTTCTTTCGATGTCCTCCCTCGGAAGTAGGGGTGGTCAGTTCCTACAAGGGCATTTTGTGCAATGAATCGCACTCTTCGCATGATTTCTAATTTACCAATTTCCTTCCCTTTAGTCCCACCGTTGCACAAACCGCCCGCTTGTTTCCCCTCTTGTTCCCGTAGAATAGCACTAGCCCTATTGCTTTTCCCCGACCAAGGTTCAATCACCTCTGCCGTCCAAAACAACCCAGACGACCATTGTCGTTGTAGATATGCTGCGCTGTTGTAAGGTGGAGTTAGAGGTAAGGTCAGGATTTTCTACTTCAGACATTCCAGTCCGCTCATGATATGTTCCAAGTTGGAAAACAGGGGAAAAAAAAGACTAAAAAAACTGTAAGTCGCTTACCGAGATTAATGGAAAGATTCCTCGTCACATCATAATAGCTTGTGCAAATGTAACTCAGCAAGCGCTCGCCGGGTACGGAATCATAGGAGTCCCCGGGATGTCCCGGTCTCGGCTTGGAATCTACCATATGACAGCCGTGGCAGACGTTTTCAAGAAGAGCAGCTGGTTGTCTACCAGGTACACAGGGGGAATAAGTCAAGCGTGTTAGTAGAGATAGTCGTCTTTGTCTGAAATCTCTCAATTTGTTAAAAACGGGACGTAAAAAGGGAAAAAAAACTGACCTCCCCGTAGCATTCCTCAAATCCACCGGCGTATCCACGATCTGCATCTCACAAATAGGTGCAATCCATTGCAGTGAAGAAGTTTCCGACGGATCATACCAGATACACTTGTTCAGGTCGAGACTTGTGCTTCGCCATCCAGGGTGGTCCGGGGATAAACCATACGGGTCTGTAGGTTGCTTAGAGCCGAGCTTGCATTCGGCGGAGAGGACCAGGTGGTTGTTGAATATGGTAGTGTAGTTCGCGCAGCCCTGGTGGAAGTTGCTGTCGTCTGTATAGAGGTACCCAAGCACAGTTGATGAAATGGCGAGAATGACCAATGCGAGGAGGAGGAGTCTAGACTGCATCTTTGATACTACGTGGCGGGAATGGTGGTGGTGTGCTAGATGTGTGGAAGATATAGCTGGAGGGTACCTCGTGCTGGGAGATTGGGAAGAATACGGGGCCTGAGAACGAGTACTTTTAATAGGGCTACCCTACAGGCAATTACAAGAGACATGTGGATGATGAGTAACGACATAGCTGTAGTGTGCGGATGGTTCACCACCTGTGATTGCACAAACGACCCTGAAATAAAACGCGGCCTTTGAAAACTGGATGGGAAGAAGACGCCGTTGGACAGTTGACAGCAACGACATGAGAAGCCCCGATCAATCATTACCCGAGCTCTCATCTCTTCCATCTTGTCTGCAAAGCTTTCACCCTCGTCCTCAAAAACCTCCTCTTCAGCGTCTTCGTATTCCACCTCTTCTTCGTCCCAGGCCTTCCTCTGGGCGATAAACTCCATCGTCCATTTCTTCGCGTGCTCCTTCACCTCCTCAACGGTCTTCTCCGCCTTCTTGGCCAGGTCACTGACCTTCTTCAAAGCATCCTGAAACGCATCGTAATTCTTCATCCTTCCGTGATAGCCGATGTCAGTCATTGTTCCGACCTGGCCCACCCATTTGTGGCAAGCCTGCGCCTCTTCGACCGGCATTCTTCCCACGTGTGCCATCCGGGTTGCTTGCTCTTCCGTGATCTCCACGGCCCGCTCAACCTTTGCGTGGGCAGCGTCGAAATGCTTCTTGGTGGTGTCGAATCCGTCCACAGGCTTCTGCCTATCAGCGTGCAGCCTATCGGTTATAAGATCCGGAAAATAGGGGTGCTTTTTGGCGAGCTTAGGAAGCTTCTTGAAAACATCGCCGTTGCTCTCAAACAACGGCTTTAGATGATACTGGTTGGCCGCACCCCAGTACATAGACATGGGCGGGTTCTTGGATAACTCGTGGCGGCGTATGAAAGGCTGGGAACGAGGCGGAGGACCGGTGATCTTTTTGGGCTTCTTCACTGGAGGCGATGTCGAGGAAGCGGGGGCCGCCTTGCGTTTACGACTGGCCACTTCGGATTCTCGCGACATTGTTGTTATTACCACAACTGATGGTTCTGGATTGAAAAGGATGCTGCTGGGATATCTGACTTGGATCGGATAGGGTGAAACGGAAGCCAGGATGTAGCAGGTTGACCCGGTGGTGGTGAAGTAAGAAGAACGAGAAAGAGGAGGAAGAGGGAGAAGGCCAGGATTTCCTTCTTAAGCCTGCTTTATCCTCTTCCGACTCTGCGGGGCGAATGCACCTTGTCATGCAAATCAAGCAAGTATGGCTTGAATGGCGATGCCAGCTGGATTTGGGTGCTGAAGACCTGAAAATGGTGGAGGGCTGCAGGATCATGGAGCAATGAAGGTGCAGACCTCGCCATCGTGGCTTCCGGTCCTTCTTTTTCGCCTTTTTCTCTTCACAAGACCGAACACGGCGACCTTGCCGAAACCTCAATTTGATCGTCCATCACTCACGCTCGTAGCTTCCCTCACTCACTCTCCTCCGTGACACTAATCTCCACCTCATCCCAATCCCTCCTCTTCTTCGCAGACCCCATGCTCCACCTCTTCGCATCGCCCTCCACAGCTTTCACCAACTCCTCCGCCTTCCTCGCCATCTCCTTCACCTTCTTCAGCGACGCCATAAACGCACCATAGTTCTTCATGCTGCCATCCTCGCCCCACGTCTGCGTCCCCGTCTGCCCAACCCATTTATGGGAAGCATGCGCTTCGTCGCGCAACATGATCCCGTACTTGACCATATTTTCCACTTCGCTGGCCATTTTAGAGACCGAGATCTCCCACTTCACGTGCGCCACGTCGAAATGCTTCTTAACGGCGTCGTGCCCGTTTCGAGCGGAGGGGCGCCTACCTAGTAGGTCGAACGTAGGTTCGAGGCCATAAGGGTCGTGCGGGCGGAGCTTGGATAGGATGTAGGGTTTGCGGCCGGTGAAGCCAATCATACGGTCGAACTCTTCGCCTTTGACTACGAGGCGGACCTGGGCTGGGGTACAGGCCGGGAAGGTGGGGGAGGACCGGTTGGGGCTTTGCGTTTTCTTGATGGCGCTGCTGCCGGTGCCGGCGCGGAAGCCGAGGCCAAAGAAGAAGCGTTACCAGCGTCCGGCTGTCTCCCACGTGGTCGTGGTGCCCCCGCGGCAGGTTGTCTCGAAGTCCCGGGGTGTTGCGGAGCAGGTGCCGGCGCAGGTGCTGCAGGCGTAGGCACAGCGAAGGAAGTTTGGACGGACGGTAGCAAATGGGAATCTAGAAACTCCATCTCGGAATCATACTCGCCTGATTCAGGGCTGTAAGGGCCTTTCATCCTGGCGCCGATTGATCCAGGCTGGTGGAAGCCGCCCAGTTCAACAAACGAGTCGGTATCATCTGGTGAGCTCAAAAGATCTGGATCCCCGCTGGGGTGTAATTCCTCTTCTATGATAGACGAATCTCTCGTCGCCCTTGCCGGCGCTGGTGCTGGTGCTGGTGCTGCGGTGGAGGGTGCCATACCGAATCGACGTGGTTGTTGAATGGCTGGATTCAATGGTGATGGTGTTGAAAAAAAGATGGTGTATTCAAGGAGCGGCGAATTGGTTGCTGAATTAATTACCCTTGTGTCTCCGGAAGATGTCAAGGAGGGAAGCGTGTTGTCATCGTCGTCGTCGCGTCAAGTGTTGGAGATGATTGTGTTTTTTTTGTCGGGCGTGCCGACTGCCCATACACTTTAGATGCATCCGGACATGGAAATTACGGCATTTCTTGTACAGTTTAAGCTCGACCCACTTTCACTGGTCAGCTATGGTACACTACTACTGTGGAACTTTGATTCTTCTTCCACAACACAAGAACTATAGTGATGCAAGTAAACAGTACCCAAGTAAACTCGCGATCCTATACATCCCAGCCTACATTTAACTCCCACCCCGAGAGCCCAGGGTCCGAGATCCCGCCCCGGCCAGTCACCCCCTCTATGGTCCCTTTCCTAGCCCCTCTACTACCACAAAGAATCCCGCCCTGTAGTCTTATGGCGCAGTAATTCCAGCCTCCAGGTCCGGGCCGTTGATGAAAACATTGCCGGGTACGCGGTATCCCACGCGTGGTAAATGTAGTTTTCGCAAGTTCGCAACTGGATGGGAGCATTGTGGGTGGCTCGTTTTATCCAACCAGTCTCACTGGACGACTGAGCTTTTTGGTTCGTAGTACTTTGGTTGTGTGGTATGAGTTGATTGATCGGGAATGATGTCTACGAATGTCTTTTCTTTCTTTCCTTTTTCCCCTCGACTTGCTACTTTTGTTTTCGAGCAAGTATCTGTGACAAGAACTGGTGCCGATGACGCTCGTGTACCTACGGCCAATGCAAGATCGGCGATGAGGTGTATCAGTCTAAAGATCGTAAGTGGTCTGCTATGGTATTGCGTAATCGTCCAAGTCATTGTGTACATAAGGAGATCAGTAACATATCACAAATTCCAGGAGCCGGGGAAATGGGGAACCGGAGAGGTATTAATGACAGGTCAAACTGCACGACTTCGTTTCCGTTTCCATCACATCACGCCACTACTACACAAACCACTGACTGCATCGTCAGCAAATCACTAGCTCTAGACTCGTCAAAAAATGATATCTGAGCGGGGAAAAAAAGAATCACTGTTTACACTAAAAGCTAACATCTAACGATTCTCCGGAGGAAAAAAAAACAAAGCACCCAGCCGAAACGCCACGCATATGTTGATCTGTAGGTTCTCCGATCGGGGAGAGTGGATGAGGTACCCGAGTCCTGAGCCCCAAATGCCGTCTTCCCCGTTCTGGACCCACAAAGTTAGCGACCATGCATGCCCTGCATGAACCCAACTCCTTGATCTTAATCCAACCAGAGGACCCAGAGCAGGCCCATGCCATTAGGCCTTACCTTATTCATTACCCATCCCGATCCATCCAATCCAATCCAATCGTCCCAGTTCCGTCATCACTTTCACATCAGATCATCGCCAACATCCCAACAACAACCAACACACTCGTTGTCAGCACCTGCACCGTCCCCGGCCCCAGTCTCCCCACCGCAGCACTCTTCTCCTGCTCCTTCTTCTCCTCCTCCTCCTTGTTTTCCTGCTCCTTCTCCGTATTCGTCTTTTTATTCTCTTCATCCGCAAGTTCAGCCCACATCTCCTTAAACCCCTCTGGCACCACGTAGTCATCCTCGCTAAGCGTGTAATTGTCTCCCAAACCCGTCGTGTTAACCTTTCCATACGCCTGCCAAACACCACTGGTCAACGACCCGGGGCCGTCGTAGATGTAGACCCTCGACCGCACCCGGCCCGTGAACTGCGGCACCTCGTCGGAGATAATCCACTTGTCGCCGTCTCTCTTGACCGTCGACTCAGGCACGCAAGAGGCGTTCTTCCAGGCGGCGGCGGCTACGTCGCGCCATAGGGGCGCCATAGATCGCATGTGCTCGGCCTTGTAGAAGAGGCGGCAGTTGGCGGCTTCGTAGAGGAACTGCGTCGGGTAGTCATCTTCTTTGTCCTCGGTAGAGTCCGCGCCGTCGGCGTAAGCGTTGCGGTAGTTGACGCCGGAGCCGGCGAGCGTGATGGGCTCAAGGGGAGGCAGGTCGGGCGATGGGAGCAAAGCGGCGAGCTCCTTGGACTTGATGGTCACGTTGCCTCTGTCGGCGTTAAGGATGTAGCCGAACCACTGCCGAATGTTAGCGGGCATGGCCACTTGCGAACCTTTGCTGCCTCCCACGGCTTGCATGGGTGTATGAAGAGGTCTGCCGCCGACGGCAATGGTACGGACTCCTTGCTCGCGTTGCATCAGCCCGGTGAAGATGGTGCATGTGCTGATACAAATGCCGTTGGTGAGGACGACAATGTTTTCGGTCTTGAAGGGCTGCTCGGGCAGGACTTCGTTGGGGGCGAAACCGGTTACGTAGAACTCTTTTCCGTCTACCGGACCACTCTTATTTGCAGCTAGCATGTTCGATTCCATCTCGTCGCCAGTCACGCTGACGGGACCGTACAGGTCTCCCCAAGTTTTGTATGGTGCGCCAGTAGTGGGATCCAGTTGAAGCAAGCCAGCAGTTGCTATTTCCTGGGCTGCTGTGTCGTAGAGAAGACTGCCCAGAAGATCAGCCGCCGGGTGCGCTCGAATACGACTTCCTGTCCACATCTTGGCTTTGGGAAATAGGTTGCGGTAGAGCTCATAGCCGAGGTCAATATAGCCACCATCATTGGCGCTCATGTCCACGATCAGGCGCGTACGCCCGTCGGCTTTGCAAGACGATAACGTCTCGTGGATGATACGACGTGCCTCGGTGAGATCTTCAGTCATGCTATACCCCGGAAGTTTGTTTTCGGCAGGTTGGAATGTGAACGCAGCCAGAACACACGTGTCCTTATCATCTTCGAGGAGGTACCCAGAGATATAGCGATATTTGTGAATTGCCACCGGATTGGATGGATAACGGCGAAGGGGCTCAATCGTGAGTATCTCAGAGACATCGGCTCTCTTTTCCATAGGTAGAGTTGCGTTGGTTTTTGGCACCTCAACCTGTTCATGAAGCTTCTCTCCGGAATCGATGTTGGAAAAATCCGTCATAATCAGGGCCATGTTCGGAATTTCTTTGGAAGACCCATTGGAGAATCGGACATTGTGTGAGTCGGGAAAATCGAGAACATAACTGCCGGCCACGAAGTGATCTTGATACTTAGTCTGAATGGCAGGAGAAAAAAAGATCGCGTTGTATTGTGCATCTGGATCTTGAAGGCCTTGCATATGCGCCTCCTGGGTAAGCAAGTTGTCGATCGGAATGTCATCAATAGACTCCACGGGGGAGATCGTGGAGGAGTTGGACTGGAACAGTATGTCGTCGTCGATGTAGACTTTTGGCAAGGTTGTACCATCTTCCGAAATAGAGACAAGCTGGAACGTCCTCCTAAGGGCGAATACACTGAGAAGGGCTGGTGAATAGCCAAAATGGCCATCATGGGCTGCTTGATACTGTTTAGAAGAGGTCATGTTAGCCACCGTCATAGCGAAATGTTGTTCTGGTGCTCTCAACGGAGGCAAGACTCACAACTCTGCTGAGATCTTTCGTGAAGTCGAACTGGTTGGAGTAGCCACCGTCTCGTAGCTTCTCCCGGATTTGAATCAGGCCTCCGATAACGTCAACTCCTGGTAGCAGGTACTCCTTTGGTGGAGCCTTGAGATATCCAAGAGTACTCTGGAACTGGGCATACGGAAGCAGACTGAAGCTTGGTTAGTAATAGCAAGAATAATAATGTGTGGACTTTGACCTCACTAATCGATGAGGGCAACGTCTTTCTCGACATCAATGGGTACCGATTCGAGGCAAGCAAGTGCCACAGAAGGCTTGACCGTTGGTACACCGTCCTTTTTTGCCAGGTTGTAGGCTTTACGGACAGCGGCGCAGCCGGTGGCTTTGGTACCTCGGGCTGTTGGGGCAGCCAGTACCGTCGAGGAAAGAGCGAGAGCCCAGAGGCTAGGTGTCGTGAGGAACATAATGATGCTTCCGAGGTGCTGGAGTGATAATGATACTGACTAACCAAGGTCGTTGACAATGCTCAGGGAAACATCACAACGCCCGGTAGACCAGTCTTATATATCATCACAAGGCCGTAGGGCTGGCTCCTCCAGCCATTATTTCTTTCTTCACCCTTACGTCCTTCTCCCTGATCGCCGTTGCCATATTCACCGTTCCCAGTAAATCTGATGTTATTCTTAGGATGTGCACCTGCCAGCTCACCTAAATTGTGGACATTGTAAGGTGCTTGGCAACCAACGGTCTCTCCCTATGCGGCGAAGCCTTAGGGGCTCAGTGTTCGCAAGTGCTTACACCCTCCCCTGTCTCTCCAAACCACAGGCAGGCAGGTTCAAGACCCTTGCTCTCGCAGTGAATTTCTAACTGGCCCCAATGCGTTTGTACAGAAAATGCTGGCTAGGGGCGGCGTTCAACGATCGCGCTAGGAACCGCCAGGAGAAACTGCCGTCGGAGATTTCAGCGGTGCATCGCCTCACAAGATGCGGCGTAGTAGGTAGTCAATTAGGGTTCAATGGAGCTCGACCAAATGCTGACGGTTTCAAGTCGATCATCGTGCCCAAAGAGGAGACGTGTATCCCAAGTTCAGTGAATTCCACCGTCCCTTCATCTTTAGGGCCAACCAATGTGACAAAACACCGCCATTTTCAACCGCTATGCCATGTCTCGGCCCTGGTTGCCGAGCTGGGCTGAACGGTTTGGCGCTCTTAGCACCCACTGAAGGGTCGCGCTTAGTCCTGAGAGTAGTATTGGTAATGACTGTGATAGGCCAAGAATAGCCCCTGGCAATTCTCTCCGTCGGGAAGAAATGCATCGTTTTACCGTGTTAAGCGGTCATAGTTGGTGAAGGAATGGTGAATATTATATAATGGTTGCCGTCTGGATTTGACGCCGCATCGGCCAACGAAAAAACAAAGATACAGTAGGTTAATACATTCCCATCCAAATCCCACGAATAAACAGATGAAAGATGAACGAGGTTCAGATTTAACAGTTGTTAACCCCAAGTACCGTGACAAACACTGGTCTCCCAGGACCCCTTACGGCCCAGTGACCTGCAACTCAACAGGCGTCCTCTGCAGACCCAGCCCCGTATAGAGCGTGGATGTGTTGAAATCGTCCATGGGAAATGGTAAGGCCTCGGCTAGAGTCGCCAAATCAAGATGTGATCCGGCTAGATCCTGTACTGTTCCTAAGCTACGCAATAAGCGAGTCGCCTCTATGGCACCGAGATGTTGCATGGATGCCAGTTGCAGTGAGCCGATGGTGACAAGGTCAGCTGGCTCCGAGGTGAATAGAGGGAGCAAATCAGACTGTGTGTCTGACACGGAAGACTCTCTCTCCGAAGGATCATGAGAAGTTAATGTGCTGGATGGTAGACTGGCGCCTGGTCGGCGATTGCCACAGCTATCGAAGGTGGATGATAAAGAGATGCTGGACGCGCGGCGATGTGCTACCTGTCCGACTTCCAACTTCAACACTGGGGAGAGAGGCTGCGGGAAAGGGGAAGTGTGACTGGTGAACGGGATGGGCTGCGACGGAACCAAGTCGGAGTTCCTATGGGCCACAAAAGAAGTCTGAGAGGACATCAGCACCGGGGACTCGGTAAGCTCCGGGTTGCTGTCGTCTCCAACTGGGGTCAAGTGGTCCGAATCGAGCGTGAGTGTCAATTGATAGAAAACAGCGGCAAAGAGCATGTGGGGGAGCAGCTCAGGTGGGTTTCCCAACGAAAAGCGAGTTTGGTAAGTACTCGTGAGGAAGATGATGGCCTCGGAGGATTGTTGGCAAACATCGGAAGGCTTGGCATCATTCCGTAACTTGGGCTTGGCCGCTCCACTGGCCCTCAAGCTTGCCATGCTCTTCACCAACGGGCGTAGAAGAGCAAGTAGGCAATAGTGATACCAAATCCTAAGAAAATGTCAGATACGGCTTAACCAGAAAGGAGCATTGACGGATTTAACGAACTGTGCAAACAACAAGTCCGGTGTGGTATCCATATCAACGCAAAATACGTCTCTGAAACGTTTGTAGGCGTCTAGACATTTTCCATAGGCGTCTTCCAGCTCCTCCGCAGTTGCGGCACTAGAGAAATTGTAAGACGAGAAAGTATGCACAGCGGCTGTGACCTCAAAGACGAATCGAGAAAGCGGCGGGCAGTGTTCTAGCTCAGCGAGGAACTGCACATGCAACGTCAACCCTAGGACCAACATCGTCAGTTAGTAAAACACAAGTATAATCAGTCCTCTTATGATGAGCCGTACCTCGTTCAATACGACTTTGTGGCTCATCCTCGACCGTCTCTCCTGAATCTTGATGAAGCCTCATGAAAAAAGGACCGGTAGTCAGGTCAAGGCGACCGGTAAGGAGACGTAACATACTGTTGGTGACGAGTGTCAGAAGGTTGCTGAGAGCCAGATGGGTGAGAAGAGGGAACGCAATGCGGTTTGTAAACTTACTGAATTAACGAGAAACCGCCGCAATAAGACAGTGCCCTGCCGGTTGCTAGTTCTTGATCCACACGGAAGCTCTGTTCACGGGTTTGTCGGCCAAAATGGATCGCGGCCCTCACGGATGCCCAGGCCAAGTCCCAGGCCTCGTCATCGTTACCTTGAGAGATCTCAGCAAGGGCAAGAACGGCCAAAGCCTGGATGCTCGGGAGGTTCACGTGGTTCGGTTCGGTTGCTAACAACCTCTTTGCTTCTCCTAGGAAGGCATCTCCAAACGTCATTCTGGACACGATATTTGAGCTCGCACCGTAAGATTTGCAAGCCTTTCCCAGGATGGCGTTAACCAGGGCCTCGGAACAGTAGCGGTGGTCGCCATCACGAAACGCCTTCATAAAAGAAGATTGCGGGATGAAGCACAGTAAAGAGCACGGAGCTGAGAAGAACTTGGATAACAGTCTCTGGACAAGTTGGGCGTCTGATGTTATACTGGTCCAGGTTTGAGGCAGAAGCTCGTTGGATATACCAGGAGCAAGAGGTTGCGAAGAACGTCGCAGAGATAGGGATGGAAGCGATGGGCTAGAGAACCGCCTAGACAACGGATACAAGGGCTGGGGGGCCTGAAGTAAAGCTGCTTGGTCCCTAAACGAGAACTGAGTGGTAGGGGAGAGGTCCGATGAAAAGCTGCTCCGAGGAGTGGGTTGGTCAAATGGAACCCGGGCCTGGGCAAAAGTGTAGCTGCCAATGCCACCAAAGCTAGCAGCCCTGTGTGGTTGTGATGACTCCGAGCCTAGTGTTGAGGCGGTGGGCTGCGACGGTGACAGCAATCTTGGAGGAGCACCATCCAGATGGCCAAAAGTTCCTACGCTCTGTGATGACGCCACCTGGAGCGGCCCAAATAGGTTTCTCATTGATCGTATCCAGTCGGCAATGGCTTCGGGTGATTCGTCACTCCGGATCCGTGATAAGAACAATTCCCAGTCCTGCTCGTCGTTGATGAGGGCTCGAATTACTGCATGTCCTTGTCGCTGCGCGTTTCGAAGTCTTTCAATCTCGGACCTGAGATGGTCCTTGGTACGCCATTTCTTGTCCTCGTATGCGCATTCTTCCCCACGAGACCTACACCTGCGGCATGGCATCTGGCCATCACACTAGGGAATGCGTGTTAGTGCGAGTGTGTGGATGAGCGTAACTTGGGGCAACGAGTTAGGGGCATGATAATAAAATCGTAAGGAGCGGCAATGGGCGTTGGATAGGAAGTCGTCGTTGTCTGAGAATAAAATGAGACTGTTCGATTGCTGATCTCTTGGACACACCTTTGTCCTTTTCTTGCGGCATACCAGGCATGCGTTCGGTGTCAAGTGCTGTCTTGGCATGGTGATGATCCGAGGAGATTGTCGTCAAGTCGCCCGGAGCAACCTGGAAGTCTGCGGGTGTCCAATACCAAACGGATGAAGCTATTGATAGCATCCTGCTGCGTAGTGGATCTCGCGTGGTTCCTTCGGCTGTCTTGATGAAAGAAAGAGCGGACGCCTTGCGATCTAAGTAAAGTTGGAACATCACGGATTCGAGGGACAGTCTCATTGATAGCGGGCAGCCACCGAACCCAGGCTGTCGACCCAGTACCGGCTGGTCCCTGCACGTTGCAAGCTGAGAAACATGGAGAACATGGACAAGTCTAACAACCTAGACAACCCCAGGTTCCCGCAAAACGATATCTGAACGATCGATCGATCAAGGACTGGGATCCATCTAGGCATTGCGTCCCAAGCTTGTCATGGAGAGGGTCTGGGTCTGGTCTTGTAGGGATCCAGGATGTAAAAGCCCCTCAATCTTGCAGCTCTCTAGTAGACGCAAAGACGAAGCGAGCCCTCCGGTGGTCTGGTGCGTCCAATAGCTAACGGCCCGCAACGTTGTTCTGGATCGGGGATGGGGGAAAGGCTGCAGTATCGCGAAGGCAAGACAAGGCATGAATGCCAGGTAGGGGACCTTCAGGTACCATCTCATTGGAACAGATAGCGAACGCAATTCAAAGAATATCAAGAGTGTGGGGCAAGGAAGTGTAGGCCCTCGCGATCTTGGTCTTGCCTGGGTAAGATCGCCTCTGGCAGATGTTCGACGGAAAGCGGGATCTTCGAAACCAAGCCCGGCTACGGGTTCTAGACAAGGGTTCAAGGTGAGTGAGTAATAGGCACAAGACGTTACACTAACAAATGAGCACCCAATCTTAGCGTTTGGAAGCCTCACAGTAAACAAGGTTGTCTTGGGTTGATGGGTAGCAGTGATGGGTGGAGCAAGATTGGCGAGGGCGAATAGCCACCTTCCTTTGTGAAGTAGATGATAAATGATGACGATGGCAGAGTCCGGCCGGCTCTTTCTGGTTTGGTTGTTGGCGCGGGGTTGTCTCCGCTCCCTGTCCCCTTTTCTCGCAGTTGCGTCTTGGCAAACAGCTGACTGACTGTGTTGGACTAAGCACCACGATAATCCTCGCTTTCTCTTGCACCGTGGAGCCTTTTTGTCTTGTAAAGCTTGTTGTGATGGCATGGTACTATGCGAGAAGGGCTGTTCGCTGCTTGACCCTAACATTAACTATAGCAAAGGGGTGGTTCGTATTGATAGCGAGCCAAGCGTTCTTTCAGCGGGTGGAAGATTAATCGAAGTCGAAAGAGAACAATGGAACGGGGGGGGAAAGAAGCACTTGCTTAAGGAATTTCAGTCCGGCCCCGAAGAAGTCGTCTGAGGCCAGAGCAGGAAGTAGTTTTGACAGCATGTCATGGCGGCCGCTAAATTAGCTGCGTAAAACGTCAGTAAGAGGAGGATGAAACAAGCAAAAGCGCACAGAGACTAACGCTTGAAAGCCCCAAAGGATGGGTTGGCGGTACCCGATCATGGCGCACCTCCGTTCCTCGGTGTCGTAGGACTGGAGCCAGGACGAGCCGTAGCCGGTAGCTATCTCTTTATCACACACCCCGCGGCCGAAATAAGACTACCCCTTAAGGCCCAATCCTTGGATGATGGATCAGCCCAACATGGAGCTTCTCAATTCCCATCCCTTGCGAAGATAGAAGATATGGATATCCCATCTGGACAGTGACAGCTGCGATGTAACCGGCGCGTGTTGGCTTGCACTGGCAGCCTTTTGAGGGAGGGTTGAGTACGTCACACCTCGGATGCACGGTACGTTTCGTCTTATACGAGCTGGCGGATCGTAATGGTGATGTTGGCCAGACGACGGCTTGAAACGTTCATGGCGACATGACAGGCTCGTCACATTTTCTCCTCCTTGATGAACGCGGGGATGGGATGATAATGTCCGGTTTGAGAGCCAGCCCGTGTTCGCTGGTAGAGGCCGCGAGAGGTCGGGATAGTAAGACGGTACAGTACCTCTAGTGTGTTGTTGTAAGTGTTGTAGTGGACGTCTGGCACCGCTGAGCATGGAAGGCTAGGGTTGGGGGGCGGCGCCCGCATTAACAGCTGCAGCGGCATGCATATGCCCGTAACAGGACAGAAGCGCGAGCAGCTAGCGTTGGGAAGAGTAGCCCCGACTAGACTGATGCTTCCTCAGTGGAGATACCTAGGTGAGGTGGTTCCCTGTCTGAGATGGGATGAGGTGCTTCTGTGCGCGGAAGAGACGGTGGGAGACTCCGAAACGCAATGATAATGATCCAGTCCAGGAAAGCAGGAACAGAGATTTGCATGATGGCAGAATTACTCCGTCGAGTAGCACGCCGATGTATGGCCGAAGAGAGATCTGGAGGTGGAAACATTAGGACCATGCGATGAGACGGGCAACAGTGAATACTCAAGCACTCGTCCGCGGGCGTATTAATCCTCTGGTTGGTCAAAGGCAGTAGCGTGAAAGGTGACCAGGGAAGGGTGGTTGACGTTGAATATGTAGGTATAATTGCATTCAGTTGCTTCTCCGTGCAACAAGGAGGCTTGTCGTTGATTGATGGGCTGAACTGGATGGGAAAATAGCGAAAGCGCCACCAGGATGGTGAGCATGCCAAAGTGCCGTTTGACCCCGGTGGAAAAGGGGCCATGGTGAGGGCATCGTGACGCGAATCACACAAAAGAGAAAGATGAATTCAAGAGGAAGTTGTGGACGGGAATGGGACCAAGGGAGAAATATCGCCCGAGGTTGGCTCTTGCCTGTCAGTCACATGCGATTGTTCCACCCACTAGGCCTATCCAGTGGCAGCTCCTGTACCCGATTTTTGCGCACAATGGAAACACCACCAGACCGGTGGCGAGCTATGGAACTGAAATGGGGGAGCAACGTTGAAGCGAGAGTATGACCAATCCAATGCTGCTCACCCGGTCTCGCACGCGATGTTTGCGAGAGGAAGGAACGTCTACAGATACATCGGCCCTAACAATGCCAATGTCCAATCCTGGTAGGTACCTCTAACGTCTTGGTGGTCGCGTGTGAAGAGAAGACCTGACGAGTACTGGTAGGTACAGGTAGTCGCGTCCGTTTCTTGAAACAATAGTTGACTGCAGCAGCTGCCAAGGCCCTGACGGGACATTTTGTTGACATAATGGAGGGAAACCTCAAGTGGAAAGCGTCACTGACCGATAAGCTTTACTATCTTATCGATAAGCTCCCAGAGCTGCCCTGAGGTGCCCATGGTACCCCTCTGATCAGCGCTCCGGCCAGCGTCCGTCCCGGCCGGCAACTTTAGGCTTGGCATCTCCAAAATTCGGCCGTGGTCAGCGCTCATTGCCGTCGCCGTCGCCGTGGTACCTGGAATCCGCTCCGCCCGCCGCCCGCCTGCCGGACTCGACCGACCGACCGACCGACTCCAAAGGCCATTCGAGTGTCGCGTACGCGCCCGCCTCTCAATACCCATCACCACCAAATCCCTCCTCAACCTCACCCAACATGCAGCCGACAAGGATTCTGTTCAAGAGATCCGTGTGGAAGGGTATGCTGTTGTCGTCTTCTCCCAGGTTCAATACTCTTTGCGCCGTCCAAGTTCGCTAACCCGTATCGTCTTCTCCAGGTCCTCACATTGTCCCGTAAGCTCTACTGCCCTCCCGTTCTTGTCCCCCCATCTCCGATCTCGACGACCACCCAAATGCGCCGGCGCACTTCGGCGCACTCCTGAGCATTTCCCTCCTCCATCACCTAGTGCGCCGGCATACTACCGGACACACCATTCCCTTCTTCCGACCAATGCGCTGGCGCATTCCCTACCGAACCATCACGAGACAAGCACCTCCGTCCACACTGTCAAACCAACAATACCGAACTACACCACACTGCACTAGACCAACAAACTCATCCGTACCTCCGTACCATACCATACCCCAAACAAACAACCTCGCTAACCACCAACGCTTCTTCCACCCAAAAATAGTCTCCCCATCCAGCGCCCCGAAGCCGGCAAGAAGATCGCCCCCATCCGCACCCAGGCCCGGTCCGCCACCATTCTGCCCAACTTCGTCGGTCTCAAGTTCCAGGTGCACAACGGCAAAGACTATGTCGACTTGACTGTTACCGAGGAGATGGTTGGGCATAAGCTTGGGGAGTTTTCTCCGTAAGTTCTTGTTTGCTTTTCGTTTCTTTTCGTTTGCCTTATAGGGAGAAAAAAAAGATAATGGGGGTTGATGTGGGAGGATATGGCAGTACATGAGTAGCCAACGGGTGGCCGGCGGCTATTCTTAAACAAGGGACTATGGGTGGTGAAGGTGGTGTGGTCAGAAATACGAGACGACATATATACTAACCGGGTCTTTGAATCAGTTCACGCAAGCCCTTCATCTGGGGTAAGAAGAAATAGACGAATACAAAGTTTATTTTCTAGAGGATAAGGTTGCTGCGGGTTTCACACATCTCTGAGGGCGGCGTTTTTCGGTAAAATTAAAAAGCAATTTTTGCTTATCTGTACCATACCAAAGGAGGGGACGGATTCAATACACATATCACATCATATTATGGGCAAATTAGACTACTGGCTTCGCTTGGATCATGGTGTCTGTTTGTCGCCAAGTGGACGTATGGTGATGTCTGTGTGATTATGAATATGCTTTGCCTAACTGTAGACTTGATTGTAAAAGAGACAATAGAGCGATACACCTTCCGTATCAGCACCTCCTGAACGCCAAGCGCAAAGAAAAGAGCAAAACGAAAACCTGTGAAGACCGAAGACCCAAACTCCTTTGCCCACCATTCCGTTGTTGCCCTTGATTGCCGATAGGTAGCCGGCCCTTTGCCCTTTATCCCTCATTCCTCCATCCATCATCGTGGTAGTCCCCTCCTCAAGAAAACAATCTGTTGTCCGGGTATTAACATCCTCCGGTCTCTCCCATCTACCACCACTACTCCTCTTCACCCGTTCCTCCAGCAGGGCACATCTCCACCGCCCTCGCATCGCAGCTTCATCGGTAAGCTCAGCGATAAAACTCGCTCCTCTTAACATTAACCCCAAACTCCCCCGCCGCCATCCCCAAATCCTCCATCGTCAACACCGTCCGGTTCTGGCTTCCGCCCTGTCCACCACCACCATACCCCGGTCGCTGGATCCCCAGCGGTCCACCTCTCCCTTGGTCCTTCGCGCCCGCCGCCTGGTTTGCAGGTTGTCCCGGAATGGGAAAGCCAGCAGCGGCGCCGAGGCTGCCCATTGGGTTGTTGGCGTTGGTGTTGGAGGCGCGGATGCGGCTGTATTGGTAGGCGTCGGCGGCGATGTCGGCGATGAACTTTTGGGTTGCGAGGGCGAGCAGGCGGGCGAGCTTTTGGTCGGTTTGTGGGGGAGGGGGCAGGCCGGCGCGGGTCATGTAGAAGGCTGTTACTGCGTCTGGGATCTGTTTGTGTCTCGGTTAGTTCAAGTTGGATTGGTGAGGGGTGGTTGGAGTGGTGCGTGTTAGGTAATGGAAAGTCAAGGGGAATAGATGGTGGACAAGGCGATGACGTACAATAGGCGCGTATTCATCCATCTTGCTCAACAGCTCCTTGAGCGACACGTCCTTGCGCGTGGGAAGCTTAGGCTCCGGCACCGAGGGGATGTCCATATTTGGTCGTTGGTCATCGTTGGCGGCGGTGGGCGCTGTGGTAGTCGCGTCTGCTGTTGTGCCATCGGCCGCGGCTTGCTCCTCCTCCGTGGTCGCGGGGTCGGCTGCTACTGCTGCTGGCGCGGTGGCGGCGGCGGGGGCTGTTGCTAGTGCTCCAGCCGGTGGCTGTGAGGGAAGGCCGTTGCCTTGAGCTTGTGAGGGAATTGCTGACATGATTGCCGATGAGCAAAGCCTCTCTTTCGATGAAGGCTCCAGGAAATCGGATTCGCGTAAAAGCGATGATGTTGGATGGTTTGCAAGGTGCCGACGGGGAGACGTGATGCGGTTCCTGGGCGGGCCGCCACTGACGCGTGGATCACGTGACTGGGTTTGTCAATAGGGGACAAAGGAGAACGAAATGCGACGAAATGTGGATGCTGAGTGAAGGTTGGAAGATAAGCGAGATTCCAAGCGCAATTGGTTGGAAGTACAATTGAAATCGGTGGTGCTTTGTTGGAATGGATGGAATGATGTAGGTTGGAGGTTGGACATCCCCCTGGGCGGCTCTTATACCAGGGAGCTCGGGCCACCCGCATGGTTGATGTCCGGTGACCGGTGCAAGCACACCTGCACATATACTTGACTCAACCTCAAAAGGGTGGCCTAAATGGTTTTGTGATTTTGGTTACTTATTTTATTAAGAGCATCTGAGACATAACTTAAACTGTTCTGATAGTTTCCTTCGACTTTGCGGCACCTTCTACATGCTGATATGGCTCGTGAATTCCCATTTGACATCGAAACTCAACTCCTCTCCTTTACAGCCTTCACCCAAACTTGCCCAGTCCTGATGACAATAACAACGTGAACTAACCCGCTTGAAGGTATTCGGCGCAGGTATACTCATATAAGCAATCCGCCCAAAAGTTACCCTGATCATCCCCGTCGACTGCGACTGGCGGGCATCGACTCAAACGCATCATCATCGTCATCCGAGATCGCATCATCGCTGATCTCAATTGTCGCCTGCGCCTGTGAAGTCTTTGCCCTCTGAGACTGTGAAAAGTTTAGTGTCGTCTGCTTCTTCCGGCCGCCGCACGAGTAGCCCGTGTCTGGGTAGCGTTGGCAGGTGCAACACGAGCCGGCGTACCTCGAGCAGGAGTAGCACTAGCACGAGCAGAGGCACGTGTAGATGCGACCCTTGACGTGGTCTTGGACTTCGGTGGTGGCGCTGGCGGATCCTCTTCGTCATCTACCATGACCACATCTTCCTCCTCATCCTCCTCTTCTTCTTCTTCTTCATCCTCCTGGTAGTCCACTTCCTCTTCCTCGTCGCTGTCTACAAATGGGGTTTTCTTCTTGCGACCTCTTGCAGGTGCCTTCTTGGCTGGTGCTGCCTTCTTTGCTACTGCGGCCTTCTTGGCAGGGGCTGCTTTCTTCGCTGCTGCTGCTGTGGTTTTGGCCGCTGCTCCCCGTTTCGGTGCCGCTCTGGTCGGAAGAGGTTGGTTGTCAATGTCCATGTTCTCATCTTCGTCACTGAATGTGACCCCTGACGTTGGTGTTTTCTTGTCCGGTCTACCGCGTCCTTTGGGCTCGGCCTCAGCCGGAACTTCTTCGAGTGCCTGTGGTTGGTCGATCCAGTGGCCATCCAGATCGGAATCCCAGCCGTCAGGCTTCTCCTTGAACCGCTTCTTGCGCTGGAATTGCTTGTGCTGACCAGAATCAAAGTTCTTCTCCATAACCTTTCTGAAGTCATCGATATGTGCGTCGAGGTCGACAATCTCCTCGTCGTCGAGCTGAAGGAGACCCTTCACTTGGGTGGATAGAGACTCCATGAGAAACATTTCCAGCGCGTGCTTATCGTCCTTGCTGACGAACTGATTGACCGCATCGCCGAATGGTGCTTGCGGCAAGATCTTAAGGGATTGTTGGGCAAAGAAATCTTGAACCAATTTGTCGACCTTGACGGTTTCGGTGGACTCGGAAAACGAGTCCGCGATGCTCTCGGACATAGACATGCCTGGCGCAGCTACAATTGTTTTCCCTGCGTATGGTCAGTATCATGTACTGTTGTTTCTCTCGATATGCTCTCAACTTACTTGATGATTTGGTTTTACGGTAAAAGTGGACCACATCATTCCGGTTGGCGACTTTTCCCGTAAATCTGTTGGAGAATCGTTGCGGGTTCTCGATTTCGTAGTTGGCCCCTTCCAGTGCTGAGTAGTCGACCTTTAATCGAATAAGCGGCAATGGTGGCTCCATATCATCGTCTGCCTCGTCGTCGTCCGCGTGGTTAGCGCGCCACTCCGCGTTGGCTTTTTCAATCATTTTTCGTCGACAATTGCCATCAGTCGCTTGGTAACTTCAGGGCGGTTATTGGGCTTCTTCTCCAGGCCCTTGAACCGCTTGTCTGAGGATAGGACAATCTCTCTTGTGACAAAGGGTCGTACTGTCTTGAGTGGTATCTTCTCGACCTCGAACTTCTTGCCTGTAATGTTGAGGATGGCGACCTGCTTCGTCACAGCCTCGCCCGGAACTAGTGAGGTGGCAACTGATGAGCCCGGTTGCATGACGTGGAATCCGGTCTCCGGATTTCGTACAGGGTCGATAAGACACTCGTGTTCATGGCCCCAGACTACCAAGTCCATGAAATCAGGAAGCATATTCTCTGCCACGTAGCCGGTAGCGGTGTGCGCGTAATGGTTCTGGTGAAGAGCTAAAAGGTTGAACCAATCGTTCTTCTGCTGGTTCGGCCGGTAGAACCTGACCTTGTTGTCTCTGAAGGTCCTGTGCATACGCTCATCACGGACGTTGCTCAATCCGTACAAAGCCATCTTCGTCCTTCCCTTCTGCAATAGGACGGGCTTGACATGGATATTGTCTGCCTCGGGTACACGGCCAAAATAGTTGACGAGACCGGCGGCATGAAGTAGGTCAAGGGAGCAGTAGTGGCCATCACCGCTTGGGTCGTCGTGGTTGCCGTGGATAGAGAAGACCGGAATGGCGACGTTGATGTCGGGATCCTCGTAGTTGACATAGGGAAAGGCCCCTTCAAAAACTTCAGCAGAATCACTGAGAAACTCGAGTTCGCATGGCTTCATGCCAAGACAATGTTTGCGAAGAGAGCGCATAACCTGGTACATGGCTTTACGGGAAGGCCTGTTCTCGTGGAAAAGATCACCGCCGAGTAGGACCATGTCGACATCCTGCTTTTTTGCTATCTGCATGACCTCGTCAAATGTCATCCAACTGTCATCCTTGCGGACGGGATCGCGCTCCCCATAACCGACATGGTTATCGGTTGAGACGAGGATGCGGATCGTGTCCTCCTCTGGAATCTATTAGCAAACGGTGGCAAGAGGTCACCATGATCAAGACCTACCCGATCTCGGCATCTTGAGCCCTTGTGGTCTCTTTTGTTTTGGCCTTTCAATAAGCTGTCATAGACTGAGTCGGTTCGGCAACAAGTTTGAAGTCTGGAAGCGTGGACGGAAGACGAGCGGGTCGCGTTGGTTGACGCGTTGAGTTCACGAGGTCACATGGAAACAGGCAGCATTTCTCAGACATGTCTGCTTCTGTTCCTGGCGATCTGGGCTCAAGGTCTGTGCGTTCCGCCCTATCGAACAAGGGCTAGCTAACCGCTTATGCCAAGGACACCTCACTGGCTCGACTGGCAACTTCCAGTGCTTCCCCGCCAAAACAACCATAACAATTTCCAGCGCAAATAGCAAACGGAACTTTCCTCAAACTTTCAAGACATTCCATCCGCCAGGCAACTGCAAAGGGAGAACCTTGAGGCCGAAAACTTAAAATGGACGAAACACCACCAACCAACCTGGCGGACTTGGCCAATGTCACAAGAGGCCCTCGTCGTACCCGGCAACGACTGCGATTCGAGCCCCAGCAGACGCCCCAAAGAACCACGCGAGCATCACAGGCTGCTGCTCAAGAAGAAGCCCGTCGAGCTGCCCTGCGATCAGTAGGCTCTGGATTCACACCTGAACCACGACCTTCTTCAACCTCTCCACCTGTCAATCAAAGGGAGCAATCGTCTACAATGCCTCGTAAGTTTATATATCTTCATCAAATTCTTTCTAGTGCCGTGATACGTCCTCTGGTCACAGGGGTCTTGCTCTTTGTTTACTTCGAGAGCCTTGGTGTCCATTCCCCCTTTTGGAGCCCCACCTCGCTTCACCTACTGGCTGGCCAGTCCTTGCACTATCACTTACACGACTTCACCGTGGCTCGTGATGGATTTTCACGTCCAGAAAACCAAACTTTCATGTCTGGATGTCTTTCTTCATTTGGCACTGCCTTCAAATTCTTCAGGTCTCCCATGCTTTCATCCCATCTCAGCTGCTACTGGCTGTGCGATTGATCCCCGTCTGTTACCGCTGCTAGGGGCTTGCAGAATGGGTGAACCTTGGGATGAACCTGTGATAGCTTCAACCATCTCCCCATCAACTTTCACTCAGCTTAGGTTCACCTCCAACCTGGTGGCGACCTTGATTTTACTTTGCCTTCTTATTTCAGTTCGTGGGCAGTCAGTCAGGCTTACTAGCCCGTCAATGTTTCGCCATTCACCGTTTCTACCCTTCCCATTTTTGCTTAACTGTTCCTTCTCCCGTCAAGTTGCCGTTCACCTCCGTCAACCTCCAGTCTACTTGCACCATTTTTCTCCTTTCTAGATATATTTCCCTTCTCATTTCTTCCTCTCACCAATCCCCGACCTTCAACACATTCTCATCATCTATTTTTACTACTCGACAGACTTCCACCTTGCTCTTTCTTCTTCACATCCTAATATAATCACCTCGCTACCACATTTACAATGCCTCCATCATCGACATACAAACCCGCGCCCAAGCAGCGACGAGTGTTGGCCGAGCTCAGTGAGCGACATCTGAACGCTCCTCTGCCTTTCACCAAGCGCGCACCCATTACACTGGACCAGGAAAACATCGAGGAGGTTCACGAAGGCCTATACAATGGCATCTACGACATCGACGAGATTTTTGCGGTCACTAACGGTACTTGGCTTGGCTCTTCAGCTCAGATAGCGCAGGCTCAGCGCTCACCAGAGGAGCAATCGGACGAGGAGGACTTCCCTAGTCCTGTGGGTGACGGTCCGGCGAGTGACATCGAGCTCCAAGACGATGATCATGGCCATGACAATGACAATGGTCTGGAGGGCGAGGCCTTCGAGGGCATGCCGGGGCTTGAGGAAGACCACAATGTCGACAACCACGCACAAGACCCAGACGGCGACGAGTTTGCGTACGATGAGCACGGGGACCGCATTGAACCTGACGAAGACCTCGAGGAAACCGAGCAACTCCAACACTCCATGTTCGATCCCTCCGCCATCGGCCTTCGCGAGATCAACAATCTCGCCCACTTCGGCGTCTCCAGCCACAAACCCGGGAACGGCGTCGAGGAGCTTCTAGCCGAAGACCTCGACAAGTACTGGCAGTAAGTTATCCCCCGTATCCTTCTTCCTCCCCCTCTCATTAACACTGTTTCAAGATCCGACGGTCAACAACCGCACCTCTTAACCATCCACTTCCTCCGCCGCGTCGAGATCCGGGCCATCCGCTTTTACGTTGACTATAATCAAGACGAAAGCTATACACCCACGAACATCGTATGGCACGCCGGCACCGGCCACCACGACCTGATCGAGTTCGCCGACGTCAAGCTCACCAACCCCGTCGGCTGGCAAGATGTGCCCATCGCCAACTGTGGCGGTGCCCCCGACGGCCACTCGCTCTGCTGCTGGATTGTGCAGGCACACATCAAGGAGAACCACCAGAATGGAAAAGATACCCACATCCGCGGCATCAAGATCTTCGCTATCGACGAGAACACGGTCGGCGGGGCGGTGGCTGCTGGTGGAGACGCGATTCATGAGATGGGTGTTAGGATTGATGAGGCGGCGGAGAGGATGCAGGTGGAGGGTTTAGTGGGCAATGGGGCGGAGGAACAAGACGATTACGACGAGGCCAGTTTGCTGGAGTTGTTGGCGCATATTGATCGCGAGGCGGGGTCGGCTGAGGCTGGGTCGAGGAGCAGGTATCGACCTGGTGAAGGGGGATTTTCGGACTTTCCTGATTTTATGCGGGATCCGGTTATTCGCTAGGAAGCAGGGCCGAGGTCAGTGTTTCTTTTCTGACTAGGTTCAAGATTTGCACGACAAGGCGTTTTGGTGTGGAGGTGTTCTGTTAAAACAAAAGGAGGGGCGACCCTTTGGTTTGGTCTGGCAAAAGGCGTTTTGGTTTGAGCCTGGTTCGGTTATCACGACATCAACATTGCAGGAATGCAGGAGTTAGAGAAGCGTCTGGAGGCATATGGCATCGGAGTTACCATTCAGAAGTTTGTCTTGAAAGGCATTGAAGGTTTTAGGGGAAATGGGTTTAAGTGAGAAGAGGAGTGGAAAGGCAACAGCTCTACGTCTTCCTGGAAATATCGATGTTGAGGGGTCTACGGGGGTGACTCGCGGTGTAGACAGGAGAACAAAAATGCACCTAGAATAGACGCAACATTGTTTTACGAGAAGTCTTGATCATGTGGCTAGGTTATTGCTGGTGCTCGTCAGGTCTTCGAAGCTGACTTGTACCTAGTGGGAAATGGAAACAGAGACACGAGCGTGAGCGCGAGCGCGATCACAAGATTGTTTCTGGAGCATCGATGGATTAGAAGAAATAACCTTATAGGGTTGTCTCGGTTGACATGATTATGGTCTCGATTCCTCTGGGCTTGAACGAGTGTCTAGAACGATCAGCTCAGCCACTTCAGAGGCCGCTAGTCAACCTACCTGCTTGACCACTAGGCCGCCGTAGCTATATCCCACTAAGATCAGGTCCCGGCTTCGCTCCTGGGGTCGTCAGTAGTACTCCAAGGTCGGATCAATCATCATGCTTACCGCCTCGGTTATGCGGATCCCCCTAATGTGTTCCAGAAGCCCTTTCCCAAGGAGCTCCAGCCGTGTATGCAATGCATCCCTCTGCCAGTATGAGTCGTAGTTATAATAGAAGATGCGAACTTCTCGGCAGATTTTGAGATGTAAATCATCGGGAAGGAAGTCGCTGACCCAGTTCACGAACTGATAGGTCTCGGGCGTCGTATCTTTGGGTGCATCAGCCGCTGCCGCAAGTCCCATCTCTGCAGGTCTCTTCGCTCGCCATATCGTATCGAGGTTGGATCCCAGGCCGAGTACAAAGATGATACCGCTTTTGTCAGGACTCAGTCTAACGAAGAGCCAGCAGATTGCGCCTACTCAACTCCACCAGCCTGCGGTGGTGAACTGTTATCGCCTACCAGAACAAGCCCGGACCTAGATTTTGGAGCCTGCCTAAGGTCGAGCCAAGTCGGGATTCTCCTCTTATATTGGTCGTAGAGGAACGCCAGCGAGAGTAAAAAGGTAAGGAGATATGCAGTTGCGGCAAGGTCCATGGCGGCCCGCTTTGTCGAAATTATTCGTTATTTGTCGGTCAAGCTGTAGCGCCGGTCGCGAGCTTGCGTAGGTGATGATAGCGATGATAGCTCTCCGTAGCTCTCAATAAATTGGAGATACATGGGCACGATATGGCTGGGTGGCGCGTGGATTTGTTGTCAATTTCCTGGGCGTGGCGTGGCGTTTGGCAGCTGAAGTCGTCAGGCAGCTAGCTGTGGCCTGCGGTTGGCCTCTGCGAAGCAACCCAATGTCCGCATGCCTTCTGGTTAGGCTGCTCTCCCGCTGCCTTTCCATATAATCAATCCATCACCTGGCTCACTGTTAATCTGAGTACAATGTCTAATTTTTCTCAGGCACCTTTTCCGTTATCGTGCGCTCCCAATAGAGACCATCTAAGTCTATTTCCCGACGCAACGGTTCGAGACGTCGCCATCAAGCCAGCGCACACCACGCATGTGCCAGGAGACGTTGCCATCGAGCCAGTGCACATATACATCCCGAATCAGATCCGTTTGGTCAACTGATATAGTTATTTACAAACTTAACTATACCGAGTGCCTATATAGTTCGGACTCTCCTACCTAATCTAGTTGAAGACTGAGCCTACCGGAGTAAAGACTATCAGCCAGGCGACGGCCTACATTCAGAGAGTGGCCAGCGACCCCGGTGTCGTGCTCAGAGGTGATGACTTCCGTCTGTAATGGTCCTGGGACCCAGAGACGTTTCTTTTGGTTGAACTGGGAAAATAGGGAGGAGCTATAAACCGTACACGCAAATCACTATATAATTCTCTCTACTAATTACACTATTTCGCGAAGCTATCTCCGTAATACCTCTGGATCCTTCTGGCTTCCGCAATAACCCGCCTCATCCGATCATACAATCCCTCATTCTCTTTTTTCCACCTCCCACCGTTCGGAAATACTTCTCTCCATAGTTTGTTAACCCAAGGTATTAACGGCTGGTAGTATGACATGAAGTTTTCTTCTGCTCCTCCGCGTCCGCCGCCTCTAGCCAGACTTCACCAACACCCTACGAGACTCAAGCCTCCAAACGACCTACCTAATCATTGACGT